TATATATATAGTATATAGTGCCAAATTACAACAGTTGTTGTCTCAGGGCAAATGATGGTAAATGAAGGCTGTAAAAGTGAATGATACAAATAAGAAACAGCTGGAGGAGCATTCAGCAACAAATTAGGCTGATTAGCAACAGGTCAACAAGAGGACTGAGAGTAAAACAAGCATTTTAGAGGCTAAATCTCTCAAAAGTAAAGATGGGCAGAGGTTCTACACAACAATCTCCTTGTTCACTGTCTGCTAAAGTAATGATAAAGGAATGTCTGCCCTTGCAGAAACCCTTCCACAAATCATTGTCTGTAAACACAAATGCTGACTAAAGCTCTATCATGCACTGAAAACCTATATGTGAACACCCTCCAGAAACACAACTACACTCTCTGGACAAAAGGTAATTTAAAACGGACTGAGACAAACTGTTCTATCAGCGTTCAGTTCAAAAACCTGCCTCTCTGTTGGTATGGGGGTGTATGCGTGCCTATGGCATTGGCTGCTTACACATATGGAGAGGCACCATCAATGCAAAAAATTCTATACAGGTTTTAGACCAGCACAAACTTCCACTCATCAAAAAATCCAGATTGTTTGATAGCTACAATTCTAAAAAAAAGAAGAAAAAAAACAGATTGTTAGATTTACTTAAGTTGTGTCAACAATTTCTACTCAACTGCGCTGAGTAAAGTAATTGTAAAACCTCCAGCAGCTGATCTCAGTTCCCAGATGTTTGCAGATGTTGATAAAAGGAGACACTTAGTGGTAAACATGACCCTGTCTCAACATTTTGAGATGTGTTGCACTAAGTGACAATATTCTGCACACAGTAAATATGACTGAAGAATGTTTCATGAGTCAACTGGATTACATTAGTGCTTTAGAATTAGCTTTTGCTAAAATTTTCAGTGCTTTAGAACTTCAGGACCTAAATATTTGAGTTAGTGCTTTAGGGTTAGTGGACCTAAATATTTGAGTTAGTGCTTTAGGRTTAGTGGACCTAAATATTTGAGTTAGTGCTTTAGGGTTAGTGGAACTAACATTTAGATTAGTGTTGCCCACCACTGGGAATCAATATTTGTTGTGTTTCACTGTAAATATAATGAGTTTATGACATCAGTAAATCATTGCATTGTTTTATTTAACCTTAACATCCCGACTTTTTTGTAATTAAGGATGTGGATCTGTTTGCTTATAGTTTTCAGGTTGTTCTATTCCTGTATGCTCCTGACACATCGAAACATCTGTATGTTTTTGGGATAGTTTATATA